CACTCTCTCTCTCTCTCTCTCTCTCTCACACACTCTCTCTCTGTCTCTCTCTCTCTCTCTCTCTCTCACACACTCCCCCTCCTCCCAGCGCTGGCTCTTATTTAGTGAGGACATAATTGCTACAGGCAGGCATGCAGCTGCACTCGACTGATAGAGTTAACACACACACAAAGATACCAAACAGCTGTCAGTGGCAGGTCTGTGTGTGTGTGTGTGTGTGTGTGTGTGTGTTCATTATTCATTGACTGATTACTGTCAGGACCAGGCTGCACATGGTGTCTCTGCTCAACAGCTTTCAAGCACATTGAGTCCAGGGAGACACAAACAAATTAAAACAACTGAACAGATGAGAAAACAGCTTTTTAATTCCTAATAAGTTCAATATAAACATACTTAATATCAGAGTAGAGTACTAATTAAGATGCATCCATTATTGAGTCACATATGGACACTTTAATGCACAAATTTAAAGCTCCCCTCCAGACATTTAGGAGGATCTATTTGCAGTAATCGAACATAATATTCATATATATGTATGTTTTTATTAGCGTATATGCCGCTAAATCCTACACGCTGGTCCTTTAAGTGACAGTTGAGGTGACTCCCCCAGTGTCCCTAATACAGAAATAAGCTGCTTTAATTAGCCACCTTAAGCTTACAGACCAAGAGTGCACTGATTTGAGGAAGCATGTGTTATATATCGTCGTCGTCTTCCTGTATCAAACAAATCTGGCTGCAGATTTTAAAGGTATGGATTCGCAGCATCTTTAAAACCACTCAGACTGCACGACTGACCTCTTCTAATCTACGAGCATCACCGATCAGACTGTTTCTGATTGAAATCACAATTTAGAATTTAGCCAATTTCAGACTATTTCATTAAGTCAAAGTTCTTGTACAGCTGCTTGTGTTCAGAGGAGATTTAACATTTAAGAACTTTGGCTCCTTTTGTTCAATGAAACAAAGGATTTTTGTAGAGAAAGACTCCAAAAAATGCATAATTTAGCTTTATGAACCGTTAAATTCCCGACTTCTGGTGGATATTAAGAGCTTACGTAGAGGTGACAGTCTTGTTTCTTTAGCTGTATTGATGAGAATGATTGGTGAGTATTCATCAGTGGACCTCAGGGTACTGATATCACGTGTCAGCTTTTAAAAGGTTTGTTTTCATGTAGCGGTGGGAGAGATTTTAAGGTTTTTTTAAAGAGGAAATGTCACGATTGTGCAATATTGTGCATCATTTAGGAGATTTCAGGTTGACGAAACAACACATCCTAAACTTTGAAACCTTTCCAAAGGACCTCTAACTGATCAAAAGAGGTTAGCCTCATTGTTTTTATCCCCCCAAAAAACAAAATGTTCCAATTGTGAATTCAATTTTAGTTTTAACTGAGTAAATCTGACATTTTTTAAGCACTCAGGAGACACGAACACGCCTGAAGGAGGTCAAGAAGTGATGGATGTGTGTGTTGTTTTTTTTCACATAACAGCTTTTCTTTTGGCTTCAGTCTCTCTCTCTCTCTCATAATTACACAAACCTGCAGCCTCCTGTTTTTGTCTGAAAACGTGGATGGATTAGAGTCCAAAGAAATGTCCAAACTCTTTTGCTGCAGGGAAGCAGGAGGACGGTTCAGCGGAGGAGTTAAGGAAGGATGCTGTGTGTGTGCTGTGGTGTGTGTGTGTGTGTGTGTGAAACTTTGCTGGATCTGAAACGAGCCAGTGTGTGGTGTTTGTTAATTATCAACAGCTGACCTCGACGTCGAGATTGTGTTTCTTTCACACGACACTTTTGTTTTTTTTGTTTTTTTATGAGGTTGTGAAATCGGCCCTGGCTTAAGTTTCCCCCCGTAAATGATTTCATTAGCGGTCTCGGCTGCTGTGTTGGCCGCGGACCGGTCTGCATTTATTTTAATTATCAGCAATGAAAGTCCTGCTCTGTTGCCAGATTAGTAGCTCTTAAAGGGGGAACAAACACAAGATATACACACCTAGTGTCCGTGTGCTGCAGCTGATCATAGTTATTGTATTGACTGATCAGTTAATCTACAGAAAACTGAAAGTTGCTGATCACAGTGGGTCAAAATGCAGCAAATATTCACATTTAAGAGGCTGGAATGGCAATTTTTGATTGATTATCAATACAGCTGCCAGTTATTTGTCCGTCAGATTGGAGTAATCAACCAATTCGCTCATTGTTTCAGCACTAAATATGACAGTGAAAGAGGTTTAAAACTGTATTAAGAAGCCAAAAACAGATTTACACACATATTTCAGGTGAAACCATC